GCTGAGTAAGTCTGTAAACCATGAAGACGTCTCCTGAAACCTGAAGTGTGTGTGTGTGTGTGTGTGTGTGTGTGTGTGTGTGTGTGTGTGTGTGTGTGTGTTTTGAGTGCGTGCTGATGTGCATGTGTGTAAGTGTGTGTGTCTGTGTTTGAGTACGCGCTCGTGTTTCATGTGTGTGTGTGTGTGTGTGTGTGTGTGTTTGTGTGTGTGAGTACGCGCCCGTGTGTTTGTTTCCGTGTATGTTTAATTCGAGCCATAAATACATTTTGATAATAATTTCAGCTTGACAATGTAACTAGCTACAAGATTTACGATAATTGGCGCCTCGCACACTTTCAGCTCTTCCTAAACCCTTGTCGTAAATTCCAGTCATAAATAAAGTTTATAGCAGCTAAGGTCCAGACAAGAGTAGTGTTGGGTCTCGTGCTCTGTGATGTATGTTCTCCAACTCTGCTCTTGCATCATTGGTCCAGTCAGTGCTTCCACAGCAGCCAATCATCATCCATCAGAAACAATCATTGGTCCAGTCAGTGCTTCCACAGCACCCAATCATCATCCATCAGAAACAATCATTGGTCCAGTCAGTGCTTACACAGCAGCCAATCATCATCCATCAGAAACAATCATTGGTCCAGTCAGAACTTCCACAGCCGCCAATCATCATCCATCAGAAACAATCATTGGTCCAGTCAGAATTTCCACAGCACCCAATCATCATCCATCAGAAACAATCATTGGTCCAGTCAGAACTTCCACAGCAGCCAATCATCATCCATCAGAAACAATCATTGGTCCAGTCAGTCCTTACACAGCAGCCAATCATCATCCATCAGAAACAATCATTGGTCCAGTCAGTCCTTACACAGCAGCCAATCATCATCCACCAGAAACAATCATTGGTCCAGTCAGAACTTCCACAGCACCCAATCATCATCCACCAGAAACAATCATTGGTCCAGTCAGAACTTCCACAGCAGCCAATCATCATCCACCAGAAACAGTCATTGGTCCAGTCAGAGCTTCCACAACAGCCTATCAGCATCCATGTTACAGGCATGATCGAAGAATCTGAGTGTTACAGGTATGATCGAGGATTCTGAGTGTTAGAGGTATAATCGAAGACTCTGAATGTTACAGGTATCATCAAGGTCTCTGAGTGTTACAGGTATGATCAAGAACTCTGAATGTTACAAGTATGATAGACGACTCTGAGTGTTACAGGTATCATCAAGGGCTCTGAGTGTTACAGGTATGATCAAGGACTCTGAATGTTACAAGTATGATAGACGACTCTGAGTGTTACAGGTATCATCAAGGGCTCTGAGTGTTACATGTATGATCAAGGGCTCTGAGTGTTACAGGTATGATCAAGGACTCTGAGTGTTCCAGGTATGATCAAGGGCTCTGAGTGTTACAGGTATGACAGAAGACTCTGAATGTTACAAGTATGATAGACGACTCTGAGTGTTACAGGTATCATCAAGGGCTCTTGAGTGTTACAGGTATGATCAAGGACTCTGAGTGTTACAGGTATGATCAAGGACTCTGAGTGTTACAGGTATCATCAAGGGCTCTGAGTGTTACAGGTATGATCCAAGGTATGATCAAGGACTGAGTGTTACAGGTATGATCAAGGGCTCTGAGTGTTACAGGTATGATCAAGGGCTCTGAGTGTTACAGGTATGATCAAGGACTCTGAGTGTTACAGGTATGATCAAGGGCTCTGAGTGTTACAGGTATGATCAAGGGCTCTGAGTGTTACAGGTATGATCAAGGGCTCTGAGTGTTACAGGTATGATCAAGGACTCTGAGTGTTACAGGTATGATCAAGGACTCTGAGTGTTACAGGTATGATCAAGGGCTCTGAGTGTTACAGGTATGATCACTCTGATTGTGGTATGATCAAGGACTCTGATTATTACAGGTATGATCAAGGACTCTGGTGTTACAGGTATGATCAAGGACTCTGAGTGTTACAGGTATGATCAAGGGCTCTGAGTGTTACAGGTATGATCAAGGGCTCTGAGTGTTACAGGTATGATCAAGGGCTCTGAGTGTTACAGGTATGATCAAGGACTCTGATTGTTACAGGTATGATCAAGGACTCTGAGTGTTACAGGTATGATCAAGGACTCTGAGTGTTACAGGTATGATCAAGGACTCTGAGTGTTACAGGTATGATCAAGGACTGTGAGTGTTACAGGTATGATCAAGGACTGTGAGTGTTACAGGTATGATCAAGGACTCTGAATGTTACAGGTATGATCAAGGACTCTGAGTGTTACGGGTATGATCAAGGACTCTGAGTGTTACAGGTATGATCAAGGACTCTGAGTGTTACAGGTATGATCAAGGACTCTGAGTGTTACAGGTATGATCAAGGACTCTGAGTGTTACAGGTATGATCAAGGGCTCTGAGTGTTACAGGAATGATCAAGGGCTCTGAGTGTTACAGGAATGATCAAGGGCTCTGAGTGTTAGTCATTTATCTACACAGTTTGTCTATATGCTATTTAGTTACGGTTCATTTATAATAAAAACTAAATTTAATAGAATATTTTACAATTAAATTACTTATATTACCATTAGTTTATAGTCACGTATTATGCCTCGTGTGAGTGTTTGCTGACAGCGCCAGTTATTACCCAAACGTTACCCCGTATGTCCCTGCAGTTGACAGAACTGTTAACCCATGTCCCGGTAATTGTGTTTAGAATAGGTCGCAGAACTAAGGCAAGACGAACTATCATTATGAAGTAAGTAAATCTTCTCTTTATTAACATCTAATACATAGTGTTCCATTATCATAACGCAGCAATTACAGACGTCGGCGATAACAAGTGTTCCCAGTATATACAGTATAATTAATGCTTTTAATGTCTCCCTGGTGGACTACGTGTAACACTGTATACTAACTACTTATTGAATTATGATAATATACTAGTGGTAATTGATGATATATATATATATATATATATATATATATATATATATATATATATATATATATATATATATATATATATATATATATATATATATATATATATATATATATATATATATATATATATATATATGAAAACAAGAAAAGAAAGCAAAGCTTTCGTGCAATTCACATCAGGCCCTTCAAAAGCAGTAAATACACGAGGTACTTGCTAGCGCCTTTTTCTCTTCCTTGGCTTCATCATTACAATATAGATCACGCGCACCTAGTGATTTACTTGCATATATATATATATATATATATATATATATATATATATATATATATATATATATATATATATATATATATATATATATATATATATATATATAACTTCGGATCACACTACATGGATTTAGGTTAGGTTAGGTTAGGTTAAATAATCCGAGAGTCACGCTTAGGTGATGCGCCTAAACTAGTAATTGTGTTCATAAGTTTCAAAGATGTATATACGTGTACAAACGTTCAGATTTATTGCTTTAATTATCTCTCTGGTGATAGTGACCCTAAAGAAATATCCCTATTATTTCTCAGATAATTTTTGTTCTGATAGGTACTGAAGGTAAAATTAAAATAATGTGTTTGAATTTCCATTGATATATTCTCTGACCCCGTCTAGTGAAGAAATTATATTCATTAAAAATAGCTGTGGTAAAGCGTGTAAATGGGACTGATTTAATTCGCCTACTGGGGCTCTGTGATGCAAGGATGTGTGTGTGAGAGATGTGTGGGGCTGTGTGATGCAAGGATGTGTGGGGCTGTGTGATGCAAGGATGTGTGTGGATGCAAGGATGTGGGCTGTGTGATGCATGATGTGTGGGGCTGTGTGATGCAAGGATGTGTGGGGCTGTGATGCAAGGATGTGGGCTGCTGTGTGATGCAATGTGTGGGGCTGTGTGGATGCAAGGATGTGTGGGGCTGTGTGATGACAGGACGTGTGGGGCTGTGTGATGCAAGGATGTGTGGGGCTGTGTGATTGGATGTGTGTGGTTGTGTGATGAAGGACGTGTGGGCTGTGTGATGCAAGGATGTGGGCTGTGTGATGCCAAATGTGTGGGCTGTGTGATGCAGGATGTGTGGGGCTGTGTGATGCAAGGATGTGGGGCTGTGTGGGGCTGTGTGATGCCTGGGCTGTGTGATGCTAAAATGTGTGGGGCTGTGTGATGCCAAAATGTGTGGGGCTGTGTGATGCGAGGATGTGTGGGGCTGTGTGATGCCAGGTTGTGCTTGGATGGACCCCACCCTTCCTTCCCCGTACTCGTCCTCTTCACAGAATTAATTGGACCTGTGGACTACCTCAATTGTCGGCACTTAATGGTCTAATATTGTTACCTATTTCATTATTTTTATCTGTTGATGACTTGAGTAATTACTGAACTATTAGGCTTCAGGATATTTCAGGACGCTTCAAGATATTTCATGTTACTTCAGGATACTTCAGGATAGTTCCTGTTACTTCAGGATACTTGAGGATACATCAGGATATTTTTTTAGGATACTTCATGTTACTTCATGTTATTTCAGGATTCTTCAGTATGCTTCATGTTACTCCAGGATACTTCAGGATACTTCATGTTACTTCAGGATACTTCAGGATACTTCATGTTACTTCAGGATACATCAGGATATTTTTTAGGATACTTCATGTTACTTCATGTTACTCCAGGATACTTCAGGATACTTCATGTTACTTCAGGATACTTCAGGATACTTCATGTTACTTCAGGATACATCAGGATATTTTTTAGGATACTTCATGTTACTTCATGACACTTCCTGTGACTTCAGAATACTTCATGCTACTTCAGGATAGTTCATGTAACTGCAAGACACTTCAGGATACTTCAGGATACTTCATGTTACTTCAGGATACTTCATGCTACTTCAGGATACTTCATGGTAATATCAGGATACTTCATGGTAATATCAGGATACTTAAGGATACTCAGAGTTACTTTAGGATAATTCAGGATACGTCAGGATACTTCAGGATATTTCACGATGCTTCAAGTTATTTCAGGATACTACGAGTTCTTTCAGGATACTTCATGGTACTTCAGGATACTTCATGGTACTTCAGGATACTTCATGTTACTTCAGGATATTAAAAGTTATTTCAGGATACTTCAGGATACTTCATGTTACTTCAGGATATTAAAAGTTATTTCAGGATACCTCAGGATACTACGAGTTACTTCAGGATACTTCGAGTTCTTTCAGGATTCCTCAGAATACTTCAGGATACTTCACGATTCTTCAGGATGCTTCATGTTACTTCAGGATACTAAGAGTTACTTCAGGATACTTCATGTTACTTCAGGATTCCTCAGAATACTTCAGGATACTTCACGATTCTTCAGGATACTTCAGTATAATTCAAGTTACTTCAGAACACTTCGGGTTACTTCAGGATTACTTCATGTTACTTCAGGATTCTTCAAGTTACTTTGGAATATTTCAGGATATTTTAAGTTACTTTGGGATACCTTAGGAAACTTCAAGCAACTTCAGGATACTTCAAGTTAGTTTAGGATACTTCAGGATTCCTCAGAATACTGCAAGTTACTTCAGAACACTTCAGGATACTTCAGCATACTTCGGGATAAACAGAATTCTTCATGTTGTATGCTGTTGACGCAGTAATGTAACTTCATTATATCTGGTCATTTTATACATTAACACAGGATTCAATCATATCACTTACAGCGAAATGAACAACGTCAATGTTATCCCTTATCTACCATACAAGTTATTTCTTATTGTAAGGGGTTTATATTCCAGTACAATGATTGTTGGTACAGTTTTGTTCAGTGTTGGGTTTGTTCTCTGCACATGGAGCAGGTGTTGCTCATGGGTAGCGCGAACCGAGTCATAGTGCGGGGTGTGATCGTATGGCTGGTCACTTGGCTCCCTTCCTCTGACCCAGCTGGTCACCTGCTACCTGTGAGCATTCCATATTTATTATCGTTTGTGGTTTATGGTGTTATGTCTTAAGAGTGCCTTGTGTAATATGATTGATAATTATTATGTATGTACAACTTAGTGAGTATAAATCTTGCAAATGTAATGGCATGCTGACCGTTACTACCAACTCAATAGTACTGTATTGTTGCAGCTCTTTTTAGTCATGGTCACGTTGGTGTGAGCGCCTACACTCCTAGCCCTGTATGTCAGCACACCAGCTAGGACGCTGTCGGCCCTAGCCTCTGTGCTGTTCCTCTCGGGTCCATTCTCCAGTACCTGTGCCAGTTAGGAAGATACTAGCTCTCCAGCGCCATTTTTATTGAGGAGAAGACCCCTATTTACCACCTGTTCCGTGTTGATATATATGACCCCACGCTTCACATCTAATGTCTACACACCCGACATCTCTTCTGACTAACACTCAGGTACCCCCATACCTACATATGTTCATGTGTAAATACTTGTAAATAGAAATATATTGTTACAAATATCCTTCAGCGTGTTCAATATCTTTGGTGAAAGTGAAAGTGTTCCACCTGACAGTAATCTTGGAAAGAACATTTAAACCCTCGACACTTATCTCTAGTAAAAGTCTACCATACAAGTTATCTCATATCACCAGTAACAGTACGTCAAGTTATTCGCTTATCTCTAGTAAAAGTCTACCATACAAGTTATCTCCAATCACCAGTAACAGTACGTCAAGTTATCTCTTATCTCTAGTAAAAGTCTACCATAAAAGTTATCTCATATCACCAGTAACAGACTGCTAAAGTTATCTCTTATCACCAGTAACAGACTGCTAAAGTTATCTCTTATCACCAGTAACAGACTATGGTACGTCAAGTTATCGCTTATCTCTAGTAAAAGTCTACCATAAAAGTTATCTCATATCACCAGTAACAGACTGCTAAAGTTATCTCTTATCTCCAGTAACAGACTACTAAAGTTATCTCTTATCACCAGTAGCAGACTATGGTACGTCAAGTTATCGCTTATCTCTAGTAAAAGTCTACCATAAAAGTTATCTCATATCACCAGTAACAGACTGCTAAAGTTATCTCTTATCACCAGTAACAGACTGCTAAAGTTATCTCTTATCACCAGTAACAGACTATGGTACGTCAAGTTATCGCTTAACTCTAGTAAATGTCTACCATACAAGTTATCTCATATCACCAGTAACAGACTACTAAAGTTATCTCATATTTTCAGTAACAGACTACTAAAGTTATCTCATATCACCAGTAACAGACTACGTCAAATCGCTTATCTCATATCACCAGTAACAGACTACGGTACGTTATCTCATAGTAACAGACTACTAAAGTTATCTCTTCACCAGTAACTACT